ACGTGGATCAAGAAAAAGATCGGCAGTGGAGAATAATCAAGAAGAAATTAGAACTTCGAACGTCGAATCGATAAACGCAATGCAGAAAACAACGATTCCTTCTCGATGATTCTCTTCGAAGAATCTTATTTTCGTTTTAATAACGGTTATCCACCCTTCACCTATTAATATGGCGCTTGTCATGGTTAATATTGCAGTCAATTGATTAACGGTTTAAATATTATAGAAGATAGTATACAATACTCCTATCTGTACTGATTTTCCATATAGAACATTTCCCAATAGAAATTCGTTGGTTCTGTTGAATCTAAGTAATTGCTGGTTCTCACCATTCTTAGGAAGGATAGAATGATTATTCGACCGAAAAAAATTCTCCTCCTCCAATGAGAATAAATTGTACTAGCTGAAGAATAGGCATAGCATATAAATTTGATCGTTGATAAATTTTCTCAGAAGATACATTCGATGAAGAAATTTCATCAAAATTTTCTAAATGAATTTTCTAAAGTCGAGTAAAATGCCCTCCGTATTTTGGTATACTACTTGGAAGTTCATCATTTGGAGAATCAGTAGATCTTCAATCGGAGGATCATTTAAAAAACTAATTTAAAGATCGTCCTCAATATCAATGTCCATCATATTTCAGGTGGTCGTTTCCGAAATTTACGATTAAGTCAAATGGTGATACATTATTTTGTTCATATTGTAATATAAGGTTTGGCAATGTTATATAAATACATTTCTAATGAATGTAAATATAAATCCATCGATAGTGTGTATTCCTTTTAAACATATAGATAAATCAAAGTATTTTCTTAAAATAATTCCCACAAATTATTATTACACGTACTATTATATTCGTTTAAATAGTATACTGTATATATTGAATTATAAAATTATGATAATGAAAAAGAAAAAATAAATTTTTATAAAGAAATAATTTTTCCGTGTTTTTTAACATTATAATTGATATGCCTCTCAAATTCGTGCAAATAACTTGGCGGTTATTCTGTCTAGTCACAAGAGATTTCAATTGATATGTAGAATGATAGTTAATAGAATAGGAGCTATCATAAAGACAATATGTATTATTATTAATCGTTTGAAATAAATTTAAATGTTAAAGTTGTAAAAACTGGCGTACAAAATTAAGACTTTTTATAATATGTTCTGACAAGAAATTATTATTTATTTTATTTATTTTTTTTTTACTTTTCACCGAATTAGGGAGCATATTTTTTATCTATATAACTTAATGTGCTTGAGCTTTTAATATTTTGTACTAATTCCGTCTCTCTCACCAAGCATTTTACTGCGATATTATGCTAATGATATTATTTATCATGACGATATTATGCTATGTCTATGGATTGCTTGAATAGTTTCTAAATTAATAATTTTCTGTACTGTTTAATTTTCATGTTCTTTTCTGTCAGAAATACATCAATTTCCAGGAAAATGTATTTGCAGCTATAATTTTTAGGATTAGCAACTATAATTCGTAATAGTATTAATAGCAGGTATATAGAATTTCGAAGAAATTTTTGTTTTTTCAATTGTTAAATTTCCTATAAATACGTTTTCCTTTGATCAATCACGATTACGTTAAGACAAGATTTAAGAGTTTTCACTGTTGAAATGTTTTATGGTATCAAGATCAAGTCACCCAACAACCATATTTCTGTACTCCTAGTTCATCGGAAACTTTCGTTAATCAACTGTAGAAACACATCGAGTTATTAAAACGCGATTGCGATATCAAAGAAAATTGCAAATATGTTTTTGCGTTTACATTTACGTGAAAAAACATTTTTGTATTACGATGCGATGAATTACATGTGACGTATTACACGCTATTGACAATATGACATCTTGTAGAAAGTTATTAAGAGACAATGGAAATAATTAGTTATTTATTAATGCGAAAAAAAGAAATGACTTTCTCTCGATTTACCATAGCTAGTATTCTCGTCTTTTCACCATCGTTTTCTTTAATCCCAGGAGTCTCTTTAATACCAGTGGTTATTTGTACGGACAAATATATAAGAAAAAATGAATCCCCACAAAGATTTTTAGGATTAAAAGATGATTTATAACTCTTATTGTAATAATTCTGCTAAAAATTTTTTAACTCTAGAGAATATTTGTTAATTTTATTCTTTTGATATTTGCTATTATTTCTATTTGGATTTTTTCTCGTGTGAATGTAAATCATTCGAACCAAGTTATATTAAAATATATATTAAATCATTATTATGAAATATTTTATATGAAATTCTTTAACATATATTTTAATAATATTCTTTCTTACATAGCAAAGGTCATGAAAAAAATTCATCGAACGAAACTTATTTTAAGGATGGCTAGAAAACGAAACCTTAAAGTAATAAAAGTTAATGGAGAAAATATACAGAAGAAAGGAAAGGTCTATTGTTAAGTATTTATGAAGTAATACAATTCGTTTTTAACCTCTTTTTTCTTACTCAGAGTGGAAACAATTCGTGAAAAGTTTGCAAATAATGTGGAAGATGGGATAAGAAATGATTAAAAATGAATATGAACGAGCTTATAAATTCTTAAAGATTGTTAGGGCTAAAAATGGAGTCTAAATATGTTAGAAAATGAAGCCAGGAATTTGTAAAGTAAATTCAATTTGTAAAAAAATTTTGTTGAAAAAGAAATTTTCAAAAAAAATTTTTTATTATATTTTGGAAATTAATTTGTGAAATTTCAATCTTCAAAACATAAAGTAAAGAGAAGAGAAGCCGTAAGAGGAAAGATCAGTAAAGACCTGCGTATTTCAAATGCAGAAGCCTGAACTATTGTTGTGCTTATTAAAGGAATATTTCATGACCTTTGGTTGTTCCGCTATTGTATATGTATTTTCGTGTCAAGGAAGAAGGAAAAGAAGGAGAACAAAAGAAAGAGAGAGAGAAAGATTTTAACAATAGATCCTTCGATCAAAAATTTCTATATCACGAAGATTTTTACTTTTTAAGAGGAGTAGCATGCATTACGAAGAAACTGTGTGTACTTTCTACTCTTTTCCATTTTTTTGTTTCCATCTTTCTTTTCGAACCTTAGCACAAAAAGTGTGCCGATCAAGTCGACCGAATGAATTCATTCAAAAGAATTCAAAATTCTACTAAATTTATTTCTAATATTTCGTTCCGGTTTCAAATTATTTATGTATGGAAATCAAAGGAACGTTTAGAATAACAAAGTACGAGTACGTTATTCGCGAAATGAACTTTGACTTTGTTTTTGATCGTGTGTGTTTATAATCTATTTGAAATAAGATGAGTTTACGACCATGTTTACTAAAGCTCTTTGTTATTTAATTTCTGTTAGGAAACGTGGACACATATATATGTGAGATATTTATATATATATATATATATATATATATATATATATATATATATATATCCTTTGTACGAGGACATTAGATGATAACGATCATTCCTATAAAAAAAGTTTTCTAGTTGGATATATTCGAATTAATCCGTCTTTCAACGAATTCGTCTATTATATTTTTTTTACTTATCTAAAATTTGACCAATCTCAAAATCATCTTGGTTGTTTTTATATGTATTTTATAAGAATTTAATAAGAATTTTTTTCTTATTATACGCATAAGCTAGTCCTATATTTTCAATTCGTTGCTTAGTTAAATACAACTAATTCATACGAATATCCGATGAGACAGCTTCCTTTGTGTATCTTTCTTTTCTCTTTCTTTCTTTTCGCCGCGTGCATTATTACGCGCGTATTTCTATTCTTTCATCCGAGTCATTGAAATATTAATTCGAGCACTTACGCATACTTTTACATCGTCACTTTGCAACGAATTCAGGATTGCTTTTCATTTCCATTCGTTGCTTCACTTGAATACATTAACTGGACCTATCAACGTCGTTCTTCTCGTTTTTTTTTCTTGTTATCCCTTTTAATCTGTGAAAAATAAAGAAATAGAAAGAAAAATAAACAATAGAAAGTTGGTTTGAAATGACTTAACTTAAGACTTACCAATGCGTTATATATTAGAGATGGTACTTTAAGATCTCAGATTATTCGCTGTTCTGTTCTTGGAGAAATTCGTACAATCTGTTTTTGGAGAATGACATTTCTCTTTTTTTTTTTTAAAGACTTATTCAAACATCATTTACATTATTTAATAATAATGTAAAATAAATGTCCGATTAGTCCGATCAAATTACCATCTACTATAGTTTGTGAATTACCGTAAACTTCTCATATTGAAAAGTTCTGAAAAAGAATATTTTACATATAATAGTATTGATCGTGATCGAAATGTATTGTAAACTCAAATAATATTTCAAACGGATCTATGCAAATACTATATTATTCTGAAATTATTAGCAAAATAATTTTTCATTAATATATTTATATACACGATGGATGTGGATTATTATAGATACATTTGGCGGTCACTTACTTTTATATTTGTGCGATTTTCAATTATATATATATAAAATTCAATTATATAATATAAATTGGATCTTTGCACTTCACTAACGACGATATTGATATTTAAGGATTTTCGGATTTTATCATTTTATCAAAATAATTAAATTAACGAGAATTTATCGTGAACGTGAATATTGGCTGAACAATATAACCCGAGAAAAGATTTGAATCATTAATGTCCGTTGGTTTTTAAGCATGTGTAGTCACTGAAAAGAGGTCCGTAATGGTCACGGTTATATTTACAATAGAACTACGATATTATACCGTTTTGTAGAACGATGAAGAGACAATATGGTGACAACGCCGTTATATTATTTTCGTAGTAAGAGATTTCTTGGCGTATTTTGTAATTATTTGGTTATATGATATCTACCGTCGATAAAATCGATCTGAATGATACCGATCTGTCATTTAATTAACATTTTAACATACAGGTGGCGTTGTTGCCTTTCGGAAATATATAAGTCAGTTCCAATCGTAGCGAATGTTAAAACTTGATTACGATCGAAAGCAACGTTATTGTTTTGGCTTCTTAGGTATATATTATCATAAGTCCGACTTACTAGAAATATAGCGTTCTCTCCTGAAAAGTGGTAACAAACCATATCGTACACGACATAAAGAAGTAGCAATCTTCAAAGTTCAAACTGAGTCGACTGGTAAGGATATGTTTATGTTCGAGCTGTGATAGAAGTTCAGGTCATCTTTCTTTGCTATGTTTGTAATAGAGCTGTAATAATACTATAGTTACAAAGTTGTTTAAGGGTTAGCAAAGGTGAACTGATTCTTTTTTATTTTTTTTATTTTTTAAATATACTCTATACTGGAATATAGTCCTTAAGATATATATATATAAAATGCTTCTCTATCCCATAAAAACTTAGCTAAAACTGTTACGGTTATTTGAATTTTTTTAAATTTACAAAGAAGATTCAATAAACGTTTCTTTTTTAATTATTCTAATTTATTATTTATAAATTTATCTGTATCCATTATCTTATTAAGATTATGTATATATCAACGATAAGAACGGCGATAATAGCAAAAGAAAAAATAATATTTGATTTTCGACGCTTTTTTTCTTATTATTGGTCATCGAGTAAGCTATATTCTGTTCGTTACTTAAATATAAATATTTCCATTATAAAACAATAGAATGTATTTCTATGCTTTTTTCCAGGCTCTCAACTGCTTTTATCGTTTATCATAGTTCTAATATAAACGTAAGTACTTTGTAAGAATACGTAAGAGAGAGAAAGAGAAAGAGAAAGAGAGAGAGAGAAAGTGATGAGAGAGGGGCGTAGAAATATAATCTATTGTTTTATAAGGGAAGTGTTTATATTGAAGCAGCGGGGCTTACTAGATAACCAATTCTAGTGAGAGTAACTTTTATTTTTCACTCTTATGTTTGTTTCTATCGTAGCTTTAACATAAAAATATCCTAAACCAATGAACCGTGAATGCAAACGCGACACGGTTCTCTGTAGATCATTTAAGATCTTAACACACCGGTGATCACCACACTGATTACGAGTCCAATATTTTATCTTGTTCTTTTTTTTTCTTCTTCATTTTTATTTATTTATTTATTTATTTTTATCATTTTCACATTTGCAATTTTATTTATCCCACTTTAGTATCAGACGAGTTTTTATCTAATTAATTTTCTTAATTAAACGATTATTAATTAATGTTTATCTAAATTATACATGACTATGTTCATGTTAATGTTTTTTAAAGCATTTTTATAGAGATCTAACGATCGTGCGGCATCCATTTCGGCAAAACATTTCTTGTTCGACACGGATGCAATAGAATATGTATATATGTGTGTATGTGCATCGTCAGTTAACTATAATCGAATTAGCAATTTATCGTGATACGACATTGTCACGGACATGTCTTTGTCAGATATCATCTCTCAAAAATGCGAAAGGGATTTAAGGCTAATTTTTTTTTTTTTATATCGTATGTTCGGTTACTAAATTGTGATCGGAATAAATTTTCAATTGATCTGCATATACAGGATGATTTTTTTGAATTAAAATTACGAACAACTTTCCTCTGTGAGATCGGATTATCCTGTCCACGAGATCAAGCCCTGATTTTTAAATAAACTTTTATTGTAAATTCGTACGCTATTTTTATTGTAAATTTGATACGGGAGATCGTGCAGGAGCTTTATTTCATGACTACAAAAAAAGTGCGAGAAAAAATGGAACCGTTTTTATTATTTAAACGGTTAAAAATAAAAAATTATTAAATGTTGTTTTCAATGTTAAATGGTGAGAAAATCGAAAAATTGTAAAATAATTGTTTCTCGTCGAACTCGTGAAATAAAAATAAAATCAATATCAAACTTGTGCCAAAGTCGATCGAATACCGATCGCTGTTATTTATTAGCAATTATTTTTGTTAGAATGAGAAACAGTATGTTTTTGCGTCATCTTAAATATACTAAACAAAGTTTTTTTTTATAAAAAGTCGTTCTCCATTTCAAAGCATGCTCTCTCTCTCTCTCTCACTCTCTCTCTCTCTCTCTCTCTCTCTATATATATATATATATATATATATATATATATATATATATATTTCATTTCTTTTCTACAGGTCTATCATGTTTGGAAATGTAAGAGTTCTTTAATTCGAAGGAGGAGTGACTTTCGATGGAGGAGGAATTTGCTACGTATTTGCTAAGAAAACTATTAGATAAAAATATTTTTAACAGAAAACATTTTATGAGTTAAAAAATGTTTTAACTCATAAAACGGGTTTAATTTCTCGCCTCGAAATGAAAGTGTAAACGACTAGCATTAAAACTTATATAGTTATCAGTCATAGGGTTCGTTGTTACCCCCTTTTCATGTCTTTTGAATGGAATTATTTTTACAGCGAGATTATTATATGGGAGTAACTATGTATTTACGTGTCGTGATTCGTCTTCGTTCTTTCCGTGACGTGTATGATAGAGAAAGATGCGCAGAAGGGATGCAAGTGAGGTAGAACGTAAGAGAGAGGGAGAGTTAGGTAGAAAGATAGATAGAAAGAGAGAGAGATAGAGGGAGAGAAAAGTTCTTTTTCGATAAATCTGTCGTTGACCTCATATTTTAGCTACCTGATGCTAACCACAGCATAGAAAGATCTATGAAAAACTATTGCAGTTCAGAATGTTACTCAAGTAACCGCTCAGGTGCAGAATGAAAAGTTTTCGGCTGCTGACAATACTTTAGCCCTTATATCGGATGAATGGGAGTAAATGCGAATATCAGAAGTAGAGATTTATATTTTATAAATCATCATCCACTACTTCATGGATCAATTCTTGAATCCGTGAGTCTGTTCAATGTCTTTCATTCTCTTTATCTACATATTTTTCATATTCTACTTATTCTTTAATATACGTAAACGGATTGTTTTTATCTTTTAGCAAATATATCTCAGTGTGCTCCGTCATTCGGTGGGTTATTGTCACAAATTTGACTTCAACAACCCATGACAGATGATATATAATACTTAACATGAAAGATTGTTAGGTATAGTTTGTTGACAAAAAATTACGTTTTTAATCGTTACAAATGAAACGTAAATGTTTGCAGCAACATTAACAGATTATACGTCCGGTTAGATTTCTTTAAATGATCTTTTTTAATCAATCAAAATTACATCGAGTATAGTAACGCAACTCCATACGTTTTACGTTTCATGTAACAAGAACTGATGCTTCGAAAAAGTACTATTATGGATCCCATTTATAACGGAAACCAGTGAACAACACGCATATCGGGAAAGTGCTCATAGCGATTAGTGTCTTGACTCGATTTATGTTATCGCATATTCTGAAAGATTTTCTAGAGAATATCGACGATAACATGGATAATACCATGTGTTAAATGTACCATATAACCAGTATTTTATGTTTCTATCTTCAACATTATTCGAAGCACTATTTTTCAATGTTCAATACGTTTTTTCTAAATGACGATATAATCTTCCGATCTCACTACACTTAACGACAATATCGATTCGACGAACGATTATGTATCATCGCAATAAGTACGTAATTTCATATCTAACAAGCATATTTTCTCTCCATTTTATCTTAGGTATAATAGTCAGATCCTTTTTCAGGTTTCAGCTCATCGAATACTCCAGTTGTTGACATTTCTACAATATTCCGTTGGTCCTAATACTATGAAATCTGAAAACGTACTGACATGATTCTAAATATTAATTTGTTCGTATACGAATATTATGCTCTTTTTTTATTTCCGATAGATGGAAGATCTTAGAATTTTTCTTCTGTTCACAACCATATCCTGCAATTCGAGCATAGAAAAATTTAATATGAACACATATGAACACATTCATTCTATTACTGTGTTAAGATTTTATTGTTGTTGATTCACACGGAAAAATACCGCGAGATTTTCTCGCTCGTAAAGAAGATGCGTCACCGAGAGGCGAGAGAATTTCACAGTTCTCGTAATTTCGTCAGAGTCGTAAGATAAACAGTAAACTCGACATGGAAGTACGTGATATCGCAAATCTCGAAGCGTCTAGTAACGAAAACGTGATGATAGGATCAACGACAAGACTCCAAATGCGATACCAACGAACAGTGCGAGAAGGCTACTGTTTTTCTTCAATGATACGACTAGCGATACCAAGACGCGCTACACGTTTTTATACTATTGTATTTGCGTAATGTATTTGAAATATCATACCTTCCCGCTAATTCTTTTTAAATAAATTACATTAAATTGAAACAACGGAAAAACTAGTGTTTTTTATTTATTTTTTTTGCGAACCTCTTATTTTTGATGAGCTTTTCAATGTTATTCCAATGGCTATCCTTTACCAACTGCTTCCTTAAATCCAAAACAGATATATATATGTATATAGGTTCAAAAATTCTTATATGCTAAAGATATGCATAGAATCTATAAATATGAATATATTTTTTTCTTTTGTAATTATAATAATCGTGTGTAGTACAAAATATAAGAGAATTTTTTTATATACGTCTATTTAAAGATCCAACAAGATTTTTAAAAATATTTATATAACTATAATTCGTAACAAGTATAGAATATTCATTTTCTCTTTCTTTCATTGAAACATTTTATAAAACATGTTACTTATTTTAAAAATTACCTCGTATTCACATTAAAGTTTGGTATGAACTCGTATTGCTTTGAAAAGTGACGATTAACAATTGTCAAAAGAAAATAGATTGTAAAGATAAAGCATTTTGATTAGTATATAAACGTTCCTAAAATATATTTCGTGTATGATCAAAATTGAATCATAATATATATATCTATTTTCTACTTTGGATTAAGATTCAAAGGGATCCTTTACGGCATAAGTTTCTTTGATCATATTTATCTCGCGGAACGTAGACATTTCTATTTATAAAGATAAAAGTTTCTACTTAGAAAAATAAAAAAATATTTGGTTTATTTTTTTCTATGGATATAAATCTTTAAAAAAAATTTTCTCTCTAATTTTATTTCGTCATATTTATTTTGACGTTTGCAAAATTTTGACATTTGACATGTCTTGTTAAATATTAGTCGTGCGAATATCGAATGTATGAACTCATTCATACGAAACAATATGAAATGTTTATTATAATATTCTCGTTTATATTCGTTACTTTTATATATTATCAGATAATAATTTCTTTAATGATAAAAGCACGCTGAAAGGTCTAATGCACGTTAAACGTACTTTTTTTCTATTTTCTTCTTTTAATTTTGTTTCTCCTTATTTCACCGAGATTAGTTATTCTAAAAAGAATACAGAATGATCATATTACGGTTCATATTCGTATCTTGTAGTCTTTTCTATTGAAAATTATTTTTTTTTATATCGATTGACAAATTTTTAAACGAATATTATATATTGAATATATGCTTATACATATATACTTGAAATGCACACACACGCACACACACAAACAAACAAATAAACAAATCAATAAATAAAAAACTAAAAAATATGCACATATGATTTCCATTTGATATATTCAAAAATGAATTTTCGTAAATAAAAGGGGTGAAGTATAAATGTCGATTTGATAAGTAAGTTTAGTGCATAAAAATAACGGTTGATCGTTGCCATCTCGTTAACCATTTTATTAATAAATTTATTGTTTACAAGTTTCTTAGTAATGATAATGATAATGAATACATTCTTTACATACATACAAATGAAGATGAAAATAGCATTCGTTATCGTTCCTCTTTTTAACTTTTTGAAAAAATTTGAAAAAATTTCTTTTTCAAAAATGAGCTTCAATCTCATCGAATATAACGATTTAATTGCACTGTGTTGCGTTCTTGATAGGGATCGTGAGGTCCTAGATACATACGTTCATACCTTATATTTTTATATATATATATACATACATGTATATATATATATATATATATATATATATATATATATATATATATGTATGTGTTTATGAAGGTTCGATTGTAGAAGGGTGGTGACGTTTTGGTTTGGGGTAAAATGAGAAGTGGGTACGGTTGCGATGGGCAACGTATTCTCGATTACGTGATTTTACGGCGGTTGATTTCTCATAAATTTTCCATGTATTTTTTTTAATTTTATTTTATTTATATGTTTAGTGGATACGAATTGCACATAAAAAAACGTGCGGTAAAAAATATTTTCCACGTTTATTTTTTTGTGGATTATTTTTTGTCGTTTTTTTCATCGTTTGTTTTTCGTCACTCTAAAGATAATACACGTTGTTAACAAAAAAAAAGCTTAGAAAATAAAATAATTTCAAATCTTTGAGCGGTTACCAACGGAATGCATTTTCCATGTCAAAAAAAAAAATAACAATCCATGAGTTTTTGCAATAAAAATGGGACCTTCGTAAAGTTTTGCATAGGGATTATAAAAAGAACGAACGAAAAAGCGGATAGTGGGTTGGCGCGGTGATTTTTTTCAGCGAGTTGAACAGTGGGTGGATAAAGGAAGGGAGAGAGAGAGAGTGAGAGAAAGAGAGAGAGAGAGAGAGATAAAAAGAAGAAAAAGCGCGTTCTTCCTCGAGAGATTAATACGTATACCTGAAAACTTTTTCAACCCTTTCTTTTGGCGATGCTTTCTCTAAAGGAAAGTATTCACTGACTTGAATTGTTTGTCAAAAGTACTTTTTATCTATATCTCGTAAAAGATGCTCTTGCAAAACGCTAAAATAATTTCTTGCTTGACTCCTTCTTTCGTACAGTTCTCTTCAAAAAGATGAAAAAAAAATTTTTCACGTGGAATGTTTCCTCTATTCGCTTTAGAGTCCATAGAAAAACTGATGCTTACCGTTTCTTTCTTGATACGTAAGAAAAAAATTTAGACCGAGAAGAAGTTCTTCTCCAAACCTTTCGGACGTTGTGAAAATGTTAGAAAAAATTACTAGTCGAAGGAGAGATGAAAATATTAAACGGTTACAGGGAGAACTCTTACCTTTTACTTCTTGTAATTTTTTTCATGATTAGAAAAAAATTTTCTAAAATGGAAAAAATATTTAATTGCATTTGGTTACTTAATTTTATATTCTATCGAAATGGAAAGATGTTTATGTATGATTATCACGTATGTATTTAAATTGATTACGAAGACTCGCAGCGTGAATCTCGCAGGTAAATATTCACCTGCATTTCCCCTCGAGCTAAACAGCTTTTTTTTAATCGGGTATAAAAAGTCGACGAAATCGCGGGGCTTTACACACCCTTCCCCTATATAGAGGCGTACCTAATAGGGCCGATAGGAAAAAAACTCCCCTTCTCTCGACAGGTTGATACCCATTGTGTAAGTGGCTTGTAATAGGAGCTCGAGTATCGTAGATAAAAAAATGTTTTCAACTTCTCTACCTTCAACAGGTCTTCCCCATTGAATAATCTTCTTATTTAAAGAAGGGATATAATAGCTTGTGTATGATATTTAATATAGCTGAGTATAAGTTTGTTTATCACTAGAATATCGGAATGTTCGAAATCTTTTTTAAAAAGTAGCTCGCTTTTTAGAGGTGAATATTTGCAATGGTTTTTTTTTTCAAATGACTGTAGTACGGAGGGAGTGGGTGGGAACGAAGTATATTAAAAACATAGACTCAAAAAAAAAAAAACATGTCCTCAATATTTTGGAAATGTGTTCCTTTTAACCAGCGTTTAAACGCGGTTTACCTCGATGAATCTGCAACAAATCAAAAAGGTTGCATCGTGAAGTAAGGGAAAGCTTATGAAAGAAAATTTCCAGCTGGCATTCACACATCCTACAATCGATCGATCGTTTGAGTAGTCATTGTCAACCCACATAAGTTTTTTATGAAAAGGTATTAAGCATCTATTTTGCATTGGAAATATCATTATCAAAATCGTCGTACGTAATTATCAGTTATCGAGTATTAAATTTCGATTATTATTTAAAAATGATTAAAACCCTTCCGAGTCGACGAATCTTAAAAGGGCCAACAGGAAAACCATGTGAAAGTTGGATGAACACGTGAGAAAATCTGTTCGTTCGTTTGTGTGATGTATGTATGTACACTGAGGTGCATACGTAAGCACGAGATTTTCCAGAAAAATGAAGTGGCAGTGTGCATCGAGTCCGTGAAGTTGCGCGTTCCTTGTAAAATCGTGAATGCGTACGTAAAACGTCTCTATAAATAGGGCCGACAACGCGCAGCTGAGGCGGAAAACGGAAATCATCGGAACACGCGCGTATTTGGGGTCGTATCGTGTGTCGACGTAGGTAGTTAACAAAGAAGAAAAAGAAAAAAAAAGAGAAAGAAAAAAAAGGAGAAAAAGAAGAAAAAAAAGAAAGAAAAAAAAGCGAGCGAAAGAGAAAAAGTAATAAGAAGAGAGAGAGACAGAGACAGAGAGAGAGAGAGAGAGAGAGAGAGAGAGAGAGAGAGAGAGAAAGGAGAAAACGATGGCGTAGAAGGAGAATTTGTGGAAGAGGGAAAGAAAAAATCCAGTAAGGTCACGACGTTTGAAAAGTGGCCAGAATTAACGCGTGCGCTCCGGCCACCGTGCAACGCACCCTCTTGTTCATTCTCTCTCTCTCTCTCTCTCTCTCTCTCTCTCTGTCTCCTTCTCTATCGCTTTCCCTTTCTCTATCGCTTTCCCTTTTTCCCTCTCTCTCTCCCTTTCATACTCTCCTTTTTTCTCTTTCACTCCTTCTCTCTCTCTCACTCCATCTCTCTCTCTCTCTCTGTCCCTCACTCTCTTTCTCTTTCTCTTTATCTCTATTTCTATCTGTATCTCTCTTACTCTCTAACTCCCGTTCGACAATGACCCCTTAACCCCGTCTCTCTTCGAACACTCCAACAGAGGGTGGCGGTGATGCAGGAGGGTGCTTCGACCCCTCACGCTCCGCCCTTCGAGGACGGACTTGCCCCTCGGGAGCCGATACAAAAAAGTCTATAAATGAAAATGATCGGGCCTGCGCGGTGGTTCGTAGAAAAATCAACTTCCTTGTTCCGCAAAACGATAACCGAATACGTTGCCTATTTTTTTTCTTTTTTTCAGAAAAAAATATTCCAATCTATGAAATTGCGGTTGAGTTTGATTTCGATAAAAAAATTTTTAATTGGTTAACGAGCTACTTAAAACATTTTTAATCGATCAGAAAAAGACATTTAATTCGATATTATCTACTTCTTCTTTATTAATTTTTAATACAGATAGGATAACGTATTGGCAACGTCGTTAACGTTGGCTAACTACTCTTTCCGATTCAATTTATTA